GGAGGGGCTGCCGGGGACCCCCTTTGGCTAGGACATGGTGCCGCGGGAGCAGGTCCCCACCCAGGCAGGCAGGCAGGCAGGCAGGAGCGCGGGTCCTGCCGGAAGAGCACTCGGCAGCTCTGTGCCAGGACGCTCTGGTTCTGGCTCTGAGAGTGGGATCTCTCTCGGGCATCCATTTGCCCTGGCAGCTTGGCAGGGGCACAGCAGGCGCCTGGGTGGGACACAGCAGATGCCTGGGCGGGGGGGCGGCGGCTCGCCTGGAGCAGGAGGCTGCCTGAACACAGCCTGGCCTCTGTGCCCTCCCAGCTGTGTGGCCTAGTCAAGTCGCTTCCCCTCTCTGAGCCTCATGCTACTGCCACTTCTGTAAAGAGATGCTGGCTGGCAAGTTACCCAGAAGCCATCGCTCCAGCTGGAGATGGCACAGGTGGTCCCTGTCCTGAAAAACATGGGCCTGACCGCAGGAGGTAACAGCTGTCCTGAAGGTAACTTAGCATTCCCTCCATTTCACCTGCTCAGCATCTCAGTAAGGAAAGCATTTACCACGAATCCCTTCTAATGCCGATAAGCCCCAATTTCCTCATCTGTATATTGGCTTGCCCGAGGTCACATGGCTAGTGAGTGCGTGTTGAGTCCTTGCCAGGAGATCACGGCACAGCCATGCCCTAGAATCTACGTGGTCGGCAAACTCATCATCAGTCCACAGAGCCAAACATCAACAGGACAACGATTGGAATTTCTTCGGAGAGCCACATTTTTTAAACGTAAACTTCTTCTAACGCCACTTCTTCAACACAGACTCGCCCAGGCCGTGGTATTTTGTGGAAGAGCCACACGCAAGGGGCCAAAGAGCCACATGTGGCTCTCGAGCGGCAGTTTGCAGACCACGGCCCTAGACCCCTGCAGAATGCCCCCAAGAGACAAGGAGCTCCCTCACCCAGCCCGGGTCCTGGGGGGCTCAGGGGGCTTCCTGCCGGAGGCGGGCTGAGAGGAGCCCACTGGGCAGCCAGGGGAGGACATTCAGGCAGGGGAGCAGCAAATGCCAGGAAGGAGGGAGAATGGCACAGCCCCAGGCTTCAAATTAGATGCCAAGAGAGGACCCCAGAGGCCCCGGGAGAGGGCGGGAGGATAAAGGGGGGTGTGGAAATGGAGAAGGGGGTTGGGGGTGGAAATGGTGAAGGCTCCCTGGGGGACCAGCCCTTGAGGACTTCAGCAGCCCCCGGCCCGGCCAGGCTGCCTCCTGCTCTGTCCTCTCTTTAGGGAGGTCCTTCTCTGGGGCTGGGGGTGCTGGGACCACGCTGAGCACTTCCCGTCCAGGACCGCCTTTCCTCCTCACGCCCACTCCGCTGGGCAAGGATGGAGGTGCCCGCTTTACAGACGTCACCATCCATCCATCCCCCGGCGTTCTGCACTCCGGCCAGGTGCCCAGTGAATCCTGTAAGGGAAGGTGAGGGGAAGCGGGGGAAGATGGAGGGGAGTGAGGGAGCCGGGGAGCCGGGGGGTGGGACAGAGATCACCAAGGCCCTCCAGCCACCCCCAGGAAGTTCACGGGCGCAGGGACCATGCCGCCACAGCTGAGACCACAAACAGGGCTGGACCACGGCTCACCTCACAGGAGAAACAGTCACAAACCCACCGGGGGTGTGCAGCCCCGGTCCCCCAGCTAGAACAGGGCAGTCACACACCAACCACTCAACATGCCCAGTGTCGGGAAGGTCTAAAGCAGTGGGAAGCATTCCCCCCGCCAGGTGGCTCATTGGTTAGAGCATCGCCCCCATAGGCCAAGGTTGCTGGTTCGATCCCTGGTCAGGGTACATACAAGAATCACCAATGAGTGCGTAAATAGGTGGAGCAACAAGTCAATGTTTCTCTCTCTCCCCTTTCTTCTCTCTCTCAGTAAAAAGCAATAACAATTTTAAAAAGTAATAGGGTGCATATTTCCATAGTCTTGGGTGGGAGTGAGGAGACACGGAAGGACAAGCACTGCGGACAAAAAGGAATCCCTTCAAATGCATTAAGGAAACAGCTCCTGTCCCAACGGGTTTGGCTCAGTGGATAGAGCATTGGCCTTTGGACTCAAGGGTCCCAGGTTTGATTCCCGTCAAGGGCATGTAGATACCTTGGTTGCGGGCACATCCCCCGTGGGGAGTGGGCAGGAGGCAGCTGATCGATGTTTCTAACTCTCTATCCCTCACCCTTCCTCTCTGTAAAAAATCAATAAAATATATACATAATTTTTTTAAGAAGGAAACGGCTCCTGTGATGGCACCAGACAAGTTGTAAAGGAGAAAACGCGTTGTCACATTTAGTGCTTCCTGAGCCCCCGTTTTAACATGTATGACCCGGTTAAAAGCCTGCAATACCAAGAGCTCTAATAATCCACATCAAAAGACCAACACCGGCCAGGGAAAGCCGAAAACCGGTTATTACATAAATGTGCATGAAACCCACAGCGAACTCTGCATTCCCGCCTCACCGGCGAAGGCAGAGGTGCTGCCAGCGGGTGTGGGAGGGAGGCAGGCGCATGTCCACCGGCGCCGCCTGGCGCTGTGGGGGCGTCCGGTGGCATCTCATGAAAGCGGTGTGGGAGGGGTGGGCCCTTTCCCCCTTAGCCCGGCCCGGAGGAGGGCGCTGGCTGCGAACCCGCAGGAGGAGGGCAGAAACTAGACGGGAGAGGGGCGGCCGCCCCGGGATCCAGGGCAGGATGGCGGGGCCCTCTGTACCACCTCTGGTTTTAATGCTTCCACCGGGCGCCCATCCCGTCTACTCTCGGCGGCTCGGGGTGGGCGTGGCGCCCTCGCGGCGGCCGCGGGACGGACCGGAGCTCCCCGGGGCGCGGGCGGCGCACCCCCCGCAGCGGGTCCCCCAGGCCGACGCCTGCGCCCCGCGCCCGCGTCCCGGAGCCCCAGGTCCGCGCCCGGGTCTGCGCCCGGGTCGCCCCGGGACGCGGCCGCTGAGAGATGCTCGCGGGCGGCGCACGGGACCGCGTGTCCCGGAGCCCAACGCGGAGGCAGAGACAGGGCGCGGAGGACGCGGCCGGGGACGGCGGAGGGAGCCGCTCCCCTCCCCGGAGCAGGGTCGGGGGTGCCCAGGGGCCTCGGCGGGCGGCGCTCACCCAGCATCTCCTTCCGGCGCTGCGTGTGCGGCTGGTCGGTGTAGACCCACTCGAAGTCGCTGCGGCCCGCGCTGTTGCCCATGGTGGGCCGGGGCCGGGGCCGGAGCGGGAGCGGGAGCCGGAGCGGGAGCGGAGCGGGAGCGGAGCGGGCTCGGGGAATGCGCTCCACCTGCCCGTCCGCGCCGCGCGGGCCGGGTAGGGGCTGGGGGCGGGGCCTGCGGAGGCGGGGTACAGGGGCGGGGTCTCAGGGGCGGGGCCTGAGGGGCGGGGCATCAGGGGGCGCGGTGCGTCCGGGACTGCCAGGCCTGGGCGGTGGCATCGGCCCGGAGGCTCAGGGGCCTCAGTCACCTCCGCGGGAGATGACACTGAGCCCGGGAGCCCCTGGCCCTCCAGTGGCGCTGGGGACGCCGGGCTCCCGGTCCGGGGAGCCACCTGCGTTCCCCCTGAGCCCGGCCCCGGCCCCGGCGCCGCTGCGGCTCCTTCCCACCGCCGCTCAGCGGACAGGAGGGCGCAGCGGGCAGGAGGGCGCAGCGGACAGGAGGGCGCAGGAGGCAGGAGGGCGCAGCGGGCAGGAGGGCGCAGGAGACAGGAGGGCGCAGGAGACAGGAGGGCGCAGCGGGCAGGAGGGCGCAGCGGGCAGGAGGGCGCAGAGGACAGGAGGGCGCAGCGGGCAGGAGGGCGCAGCGGACAGGAGGGCGCAGGAGGCAGGAGGGCGCAGCGGGCAGGAGGGCGCAGGAGGCAGGAGGGCGCAGGAGGCAGGAGGGCGCAGGAGGCAGGAGGGCGCAGCGGGCAGGGGGGCGCAGGAAGCTGTGTTCCCTTCCTCCCCAACTCCTGGGGCAGGAACGCGGAGGCAGTGAGGTGTCCCTGACGAACTCCCGGCGGAGCCGGCCCCGCCCTGCCTTCGGGGACGCGGGACTCAGGGCATCAGGGACACACCAGGGGAGTCTGGTTACAGGGCGGAACGCGGTCAGAGAGAGCGTGTGCGCCCAGCTGGTGTGTCTCAGGGTGAGTGTGGACCTACGAACCAGGAGGTCTCGGTTGGGCTCCCAGGCAGGGCACAGGCCTGGGCTGCAGGCTCAGTCCCGTGGAGCAGGGCGTGGGAAGGAGGCAGCCGACCAATGGTTCTCTCACCATTGATGTTTCTCTCTCTGAAATTTAAAAACTAAATTAATTAAATAAATTAACAAATGAAAGAGTGTGTCAAGCCCTGGCTGGGTAGCTCACTTGGTTAGAGCATTCTCCCCATACGCAAAGGTTGTGGGCTCAATCCCAGGTCAGGGCACATACAAGAATCAACCAATGAATGCATAAACAAGAGGGACAACAAATCCATGTTTCTCCCTTTCCCTCTCCAATCAGTAAATAAAAATTGTGGAAAAACAGAATAAATGACGGTGTCAATATCAGTTGGTTGATTGTAACACATGTACCATACTGTTATGCGATACTGAAAAGAAGGAAGGAAGGAAGGAAGGAAGGAAGGAAGGAAGGAAGGAAGGAAGGAAGGAAGGAAGGAAGGAAGGTGGGAGTGGGAAGCACCCGCACCCAGAGCCCGGACTGTGGTGTGTGCAGCCCGGCAGGAGCCCCCTCTGCCCAGGGCGTGGGCACAGCGCCTCCCAGCCCCCAGGCCCGCCGCCCGCCACCTCCGGGACAAGGGAAATGGGGCAGCGCCAGACAAGGTCAGAGGATAACCTCTCCCGAGAGACGCAGAAGGCTGTGTCGTTCATAAAGTGAATAAGTAAATAAAGCAGAGATGGACGAATATAAATTGCTTGTTAAAAACAAAAGCAAACAAACAAACAAAACTAGCCCTGCCGGTGTGGCTCAGTTGGCTGAGCGACATCCTGCTCAGGGAAAGGTCACCGAGTTCGATTCCCCGTCAGGGCACACCCCTGGGTCGCAGGTTGGATCCCGGCGGGTCAGGATGTGTGCGGGAGGCACCCCATCGATTTTTCTCCCTCCTCCTCTCCCTTCCTCTCTCTTTAAAATCAATGAAAACATGTTTTTGAAAGGTATTTGTAAAATATGTTTTTATTGATTTCAGAGAGGAAGGGAGGGGGGAGAGAGGTATATATATATATATATAATAAAACTAATAAAAATAAAGAAAAAATGAAAAGGGGAAAACACATAACCCTCTTTGAAATGAAAGGACGTGAGAGACAAGAGACAGGCCCCCAGGCTCAGCTGGTTGGAGTTGAAGTCGGGGCAACCACTAGGATTGATGTATCTCTCTCACATGGATCTCTCTCTCCCTCCCTCCCTCCCTCCCTCCCTCCCCTCCTCCCTCCTTTCCTTCCTGTCTAAAAATCAATTAACAAAAATAAAATAAAAGGAAAAAAGGAAAGCAACAAGGAAGCCAGAATCCCAGCCTCCATCTGATGAACTTTCTGGAAGGGCAGAGAATGGGGGAGAGGCACCACTGACCAGTCCCCTGCTTGTTTTGTTTACGGAAGTCCTCTCTCCTAGAGATTATAGTTGCCATGTAATTATGTGTAACTATGGCTATCCTTCTCTGAAATGACTTATAGCGTGTCTTTACTTACTTGTTGATGGCCTATTCCCTCTTCTAGGGTGTCTGTGCTCTTGGAGTCACACCTGGCAGCCATACCAGTTTCTGGCAAAGGAGTTGCCCTTAGTACTGATTTGCTAAATGAAAGAATGAACGTATCCTGTCAAACAAGTACTACGGACACCCCCCCACCCCCCAATCAGAGGAAGGACAGGTGCGCAGGTTGAGGGCCTCAACGCTGCCCCCACCCACTTGGCTCAAGCCTGGGGCCGGGGCCGGGCTGCCTCCTGGCACAGGCTGGGGAAAGGACAGCCCGGACCTGGTGGGGGACCGCGGCACAGCTTTCCTGCCGAGCCCGGCCTGGCAGCCGCCCGCCCTCACGGAGCGTGGACGGGCGTCCCACGGGGCCGTGCGCGCCACAATGGTGTGTGGCCACAAACCAGCACCGCGGCCCACACCCACGGTGTGTCACCAGCCTCTTTGTTGCCTGCAATTCTGCTGCTATGACACCTTGGGGCGTTGCTGGGAGCCAGTTCAGAGGCAGTAAATGCCTCACCGGGGAGGGTGCCTTCGTGACACACTGACCGGCCAGCGTCCCCCACCTTAGGGCCGGGCCTGGCCCCACACACTGGGCAGACGACTGGAATCAACCTTTTCAAGCAAGCAGGCACGAAGCCTGCTCACCCTCCTCCTGCCCCTTCCCCCTTCCCAGGGAGCCTGGTGAGAGGCTCCAGCCCGGCGGCCGCTCCTCCCTCTGCTCCTGGCCACCCTGGTGCTGGGGGGCGGGAAGCCTCCTGGGAACTATACCTAACAAGCCATCTTGTGGATGGCAGTCTCCTCCTGACCTGTTAGTTACACATCCTATCTAATAAAGAGGGAATGTGCTAATTGTCATCACTCCGTCACAAAGCTGGCTGCACCCACAGCTGAGGCCAAGTTCCCTTAAAGAGCCTTACCGAGCAATCAGCAGGGACCAGAGGCTATGCCCTCCCCCACCTGGCAGGGCTTGGCAGGAAACCTCAGGCCGTGCCCCTCACCCAGCGGGGCTTGACAGGGGACTTCAGGCTGAACCCCCCACCCTGGCACCAGGCTAGGGAGCCTCAGACCACACCCTTCCGCCCCCGCCTGGCAGGGCTTGACAGGGGACCTCAAGTGCACCCCCAGTGCTGGGTCAGGGGAGCTCGGGCCGCGCCCCTCACCAGGTGGGGCTTGGCAGAGGATCTCAGGCTGCACCGCCTGCCAGCACTGGGCCAGGGGACTTGACAGAGTCTGGGGCTTGACAAGGGTGAGACTGATGGATCTGGATCTAGCCCAATTGGGGGGTGGGGGGAGGGTACTGGCTGGGTCTGGGTCTCATATAATTTTGAAGTGCATGTGGATCGGCAGGGACTTGATTCTGGGTCCCATGGTAAGCCCCAGACTCTAACAGGAGGAAGGTTTTCATATAACATTTTACTAATTTTCTTTCATCTCTGACACTTATAGAGAAAGGGCAAACAGCAGTATTAAATTATTTCCTCTAATTAATCCCCTTTTGATGTGTATGAATTTAGTGCACCAGGTCACTAGTAATTAAATAAGATGAAGCCTAGCCCTAGCCAGTTTGGCTCAGTGGACGGAGCTTCAGCCTGTGGAATGAAGGATTCTAGGTTCCATTCCAGCCAAAGGCACATGTCTGGGTTGCATGCTCGATCCCAGGTAGGGGGTGTGCAGGAGGCAGCCAATCAATGATTCCCTCTCATCACTGATGTTTCTGTCTCTCCCTGTCCTTTCCTCTCAGAAATCAATAAAATATATATATATATATGAATGAAGCCCACACAGCAGGGAGCAGGTGGCTGGCCTCAGACTGGGAATGACAGGCCACGAGCCTGCTGGTGGCTCTGTGAGTGGTTCCCACCAGTGTCCCTGGCAGCCCGAGGTGCGCCCCCTGCTGGCACCATGGGCACCCAACGTCCCTGCTGCTGCAGCACCTGCCAGGCGGCCGAGAAAGCTGGGCCTCCCGGGGCCCTGGTCCGAGCCGGGCTCTGGGGGATGTCCCCGGCCCTGCCTGGCTGCCTCGGGGAAGGCTCCCCCGAAGGGGAGGAGTGTGACGTCCTCCTGACCCTGAGCACTAAGCAGTGGGGAACTGAGGTGCCGGCGTGCCATTCACCCTGCCCCCTCCCAGGAGCCCAGCGGGGTGCTGTCACCACAGAGTCCGGGAAGGCACCCACCTCCACAACCGTGGCCCCGCAGGTCCTGTGGGAAGGGCCCTGATGGGTGTGGTTTGTCTGGCTGCCCTCCTGAGTCCTCCCTGCTCCAGTGGGAGGAGGGATCACACTGGTGGAGACCTTGGAGGGAGGTGAGGAGGAGGAGGGAGCAGAGGGGAAGGAAGGGGGACCAGGAGGGGGAGGAAGAGAAGAGGCAAAGGAGCGGGGAGGGGAAGGAGAAGGAGGTGTGGGGAGGAGTGAGGAAAAGGGGAAGGAGGAAGGTGAGGAGAGAGCCGGGGGCAGGAGGGAAGGGGAAGGAGAGGAGGGTGGAAAGGAAGAACAGAGGAGCGGGAGAAAAAGGAGGAGAGAAAGGAGGAGTGTGGGGAGGAGTGAGGAAGAGGAGAAGGGGCCTCCCAGGTAGAGGCTGTGGCCTAGAGGCCGGCCACCGGGCCCTCTCCCTGCGCCCTTCCTTTCCTATCCGCCTGAGAGAGAAAACAAGCCCACAGCCTCAGAGGCTAAAAGCTTAAAACAGAAAAAAAAAGAAAAAAAGAAAGAAAAAAAAAGAGAGTGGGAAGGATTGAAAGGGGGAAAAAGAAAGAAAAACCCCTAGCTACAGGGAAAAGAAACTAAAGGTTAATAGATGTTACATATTTTATCCTATCTAATAAAAGAGTAATATGCAAATTGACCATCACTCCAAGATACAAGATGGCTGCCCCCATATGGTCAAAGATGGCTGCCCTTATGTGGACACAAGATGGCCACCAGAAAATGGCCTGCAGGGGAGGGCAGTTGGGGGTGATCAGGTAAGCAGGGAGGGCAGCAGGGGTGACTGGGTCAGCAGGGGAGGGAAGTTGGTGGGGACCAGGCCTGCAGGGAAGGGCAGTTAGGGGCAACCAGGCTAGCAAGGGAGGGCAGTTAGGGAAGACCAGGCCAGAAGGGGAGGGCAGTTAGAGGTAACCAGGTCAGCAGAGGAGGGCAGTTAGGGGCAACTGGGCCAGCTGGGGAACAGTTAGGTGTCGATCAGGCTGGCAGGGGAGTGCTTAGGGGGTGATCAGGTTGGCAGGCAGAAGCAGTAAGGGGCAATCAAGCAGGCAAGCAGTTGGGAGCCAGCAGTCCTGGATTGTGAGAGGAATGTCTGACGGCCTGTTTAGGCCCGATCCTAAATGGGTGGGCAGACATCTCTCAAGGGGTCCCAGATTGGAGAGGGTGCAGGCTGGGCTGAGGGACCCCCCTCCCCCAGGCCTCTGGTATATTTATAAAAACACTAGAGGCCTGGTGCACTATGTAAATGCACTGGGGGACGGGTCCCTCAGCCGGATTGTGAGAGGGCGCAGCCCAGGCTAAGGGACCCTACCGGTGCAGTCAGGACTAGGGAGGGATTCGGGAGGTTGGCCAGCCGGGGAGGGACCACAGGAGGGCTCCGGGCATGTTCAGCCCGTCTTGCTCAGTCCTGATCCACTGGACCTCAGCAGCAAGCTAACCTACCAGTTGGAGCATCTGCCTCCTGATGGTCAGTGCACATCATAGCGGTTGACAGACTGCCCCCTGGTGGTAAGTGCCCATAATAGCAAGCTATTGAGCAGCCTTAGCATATCATTAGCATACTAGAGGCCCTGTGCATGGGGAAAGGGGATCCCCTCAGCCCAGCCTGTATCCTCTCCAATCCAGGACATCCCTCTCACAATCCTGGACCACTGGCTCCTAATTGCTCACCTGCCTGCCTGCCTGGTCGCCCCTAACTGCCCCCCCACCAGCCTGGTTGCCTCTTACTGCCCCCCCACATGGGCCTGGTTGCCCTATGCAGCCTGCTTGTTCAGTCATTTGGTCATCCCTTACTAAACCCCTTGCTGGCCTGGTCATAGGCAGCCATCTTGTGAGGGTTAATTTGCATATTACTTATTTATTATATAGGATTACTCTTTGATTGGTTGAATGGCCAACTGAATGATCAGACACTTAGCATATTAGGCTTTTATTATATAGAATATGATAAATACAATATATATATATATAAAACAAAAGTTCATAATTTGACTGAGTTGGAAACTCAGAGTTGCTCAGTTGGCTGACCATTGGCCTGTGCACCAAAAGATTGCAGGTTCAATTCCTTGTCAAGCATATATAATACATGGGTTGTGGTTTGATTCACAGACAGGGAGGGTACAGAAGGCAACAATCAATGTTTCTCTCTCATCTCTTTCTCTCCTTAAGACCTCTCTGTAAGCAGGTCCTCGAGGGAGAATTTAAAAAGATATTTTAAAAATTTTAAAGCTTATACCCTAACATATATATATATATATATATATATATATATATATATATATATATATAATTATATATAACAAACATACAACAGAATTTATACACTAAGATAATTTCTATAAAAAGAATATTGGCTCTGATGTCTCTATAACAGGGCTCCCATTGACAAAACCTTATGGACTCCATCAATACTGGGGGGAAATGATGGTCATATGTGGGGATCCCCCTAAACTTAAACATGGCAGCCCCTATCATCTTAGGGAGGTAACTAAATAGACTCACCTCATTTAAACTGCAGCCTTGCCTAAGTTTCCACAGTCAAGTACTCTTTGCCCCAACATATCCCATATTGGGCAAAGATGGGCTAACGGGATGAATGATAAGTTGATACTAAAGTCTCTGGCGTTTACAAATTGGCTTGATTAATTGGACCTCCGCTTAAAATAGCTACTCTGGCCCAAGGCAAGTTAAAACGGGGCCTTCCGGAGCGTGACTTACCTATAAAATCTAATTAAGGAGGCCAGGCCTCGTGGCTTCTCCGAGGAGCTTGGCTATTAAGAATCCTACAAACCAGCCTGGGCGGCACGGCAGTGGGAGAGAATCGGCCTGTGTCTGTGGTGGACGTCGCTCCCACCCTGCCCGAGGGGCAGCACCGCCTCCAGACAGTGCGGTGAGGCCACAGCCCCACCTCTCACAGGCCACTCACAAACTCCCAGCCTCAGTTTCCTCATCTGTGAAGTGGGGACAGCTACCTTACTTTCTAGAACAGCTGTGTGGGAAGCACCCCAAGACCTCACCTGGCACGTGGTAGGCCCTCAGCCACCAGCAGTGGGACACCTAGGCTGCTGGGGCAGGAAGTGGACATGGGACAGTGGGG